GGTTGAGGCATGGTTGGGCAATTCAAGCCGGAACAAACAAGACCTTGGCACCATCGTGTTTGTCATTGATGAGGTTAGCAAGTGCATAGAACTGGCTCGCGGGATCTCTGCAACGCAAACTGATATCTACACCACGCTAGAGCAGAAGTATTGCCTCTCTGCTCAGCTTGTCATGGCAGGAACGGCTGCTGCATACATTCTGGGCACTCCAGGTACAAGTGTGCTCAGTACCGATCCAAAAGCGGTTTGCTTGACGCACGTTGGCCTCGTCCAAGGCTCGAAATATCTCGGCCGCCTGCTGACACAGTTAGACCACCAGACGGGCGTGCACTTGAAGGACTTGCAAGTCGCGTCCGTGCGCCCATACCTCAGCAATGCCCGAACGGCATGGTTCCTGATTGAAACGCTGCGGTGTTTTTTTCTTGGGCACCAAAGGATGTCAGCCGCAAGATGGCAGGCTCAATTTGGAAGCGCTACCCAGCAGCCACGGGCTGCTATGTGCCCTTGATGTACAGAACAACGAACGGCTTGCAGCGATTGAAGACTGCTGAAGAGCGTGAAGGCATTGCCAACCGGGCGCTCAAACTTTTGATGCACGCCGACCTTCTGACACCAGACACGATGCCGACGCTTCGGGAAGCTGTAGAGTGTGTAAGCCTTGGGCTGTGCAATGTTTCAAATTATAGCCAAGCCCAAAGTCTCCTTGCTCAAGATGGGCAAAGCAAGACGTATCGGGATGACCTCATTTTCCAGTCTTCACCCGCTTTGGCACACATGCTGTTGGCAGCTTTCGATGTGCCGGAGGTAGTCCCGCAGGACGGGGATTCGCTGGAGGCAGTCATAATGGAAGCGGAAAGACGCTTCTCAGAGGTGCTGACGGGCCGGAAGGCCATCGCTTTGACTCTACCGCATGCGCTGCCTCCGCAGCTTAACCAGCAGAACATGACAGGCCTGCCGCTAGAACAGTTTAAGGAGATTCTGGCAGCATTGAATGCCAGCCAGACAGTGGTGCTGCGCAATGGGCCCAGTGCTCAAGGTGCTGACATTATCGTTCTTCGGAGGAAGCATGGAAGCAATATGCCCTTGGTTCGCCTGATACAGGCGAAGAACAAAAACAAGAAAGCAGATATGCTTCCAGCTATTTCAACACTGGGAGTCACATGCAGCAACAAAACAGTCACATGTCGCGCCTGGCATCGAGCTGCACAAGTTCTTGGATGGCTGTGCCGACTTGTGTCAGAGCAAGCTGGCCGTAATGCGTTCGAGCTTGGGAAGTTCAAGCAGCCCAGGACTAATGTTAGCGTCTCCGTCGAGCTGGTGCTTTGGGAGAGTATCCCCCGCAACGAGGCTCCTCCTACTTTGAGTCGACCAAAGTTTTTGCAACAGACTCCTACGTTCCGGCTGAGGAGCTTGCAACATTTGGCTCCGTTTCCTACACATATAGCGCGCCCCGATAGCAAGTATGTTGCGCAGAAGCAGTGGCCAAAGAAGAGGAGGTCGGGAAAGCCGCCGGCAAAGAAATCATCAGCAAGCAAACGATAGAGGACAGTGCTGTCGCTCTTGCATAGAGCATCATTCGAAAAAGGCGCGCTCTATTGCTGGTGTGGCATTCGAGTAAATAGTCTTGGTCATCACTCAAGAGCTTGCATGTTGCCTTGTTCCTCAGAGCACGTTCTGGTTCGGAGCTGACGGCTGCATGATTTTCACTCAGGTCCCAGCGGGATGCTGTCATCCAGGCTGGTGCGACGCAGCAGCCGTTAGTTGCAGGCATGAATTGCCCTGTTATGAGGGGATGCTCTAGAAAGTGTCAACACAGCATTTTTGGGCAGGCTGCCAAAATGCTTGGTTGAGGCTACTGAGCTGCGGGCAGTGGTTCTCGGCGTGGAATGCGCACGTAGCCGTTTTGCCTGGTTTCTAGAAAAACGCGTTTTGGCAGGGGGTGGAAAACCAGAAATGGGTTAAGAGATCCCCCCTCCCTTAGCCTGGGGGGGGGGGGCAGGAAATGTAGAATAGCGAAGTTCCTGTTCAATGCGGTTCAAGACTTAAGCGATCCTTCGGCCACTCTGGCATGAACTAGTCACGCTTCTTTTGGCGGGCCTGTTTTGTGGTCAGTGTCACGCCAGTTGGCATGTTTCACGGCAACCCGTGCCCTGAAAGGCATTGACCTTTCTGCACATCACGCAAAAGGAGACGTATGTCTCCTACAACCATGATAACAAAGTATGGGTGTACGGCTCTCTTTTGACCAGCATTCCTGAATGCGGCTACGTCCGAGATGCGCAGAAGCTCACAAGCACAACTGGTGCAGCGGCGATTGTCGTGGACAGCATGAAGGTTGGGAAGCGCAGTATCCCTATTTTCTATGGGGAGAGTGGGAGCGGTAAATCAGTGCAGGCGATGCTTGCGCCGGCTCTGAAACTGGCGGAGAATTCCGGATCGACAGTGCGCGTCTTTTCTACTAGCTTACAAACTGACGATAGCCTGGACAAACGACTGGAGAATATCAAAGCCGCAAGCAGCGTCTATCAGCGCAACAGACTTTGTACAGATTTTGTTGTCGACAGCTTCATCGATGCGGTCCGGAAAGCCTTTCCTAAGCAGTACAGAGATACTATTGTCAATACGTGGCTTGAGGACGAGAATCGTAACAAAACAGCTCTGGGAGTCATTGTCTTCATAATTGATGAAATCGGCAAATGTTTGGAGCTGGCTCGTGGCGTAGCCAGCGCACGAGATGCAATCTACGACAAACTTGGCAACTACTGTGACGCAGCTTTGTTGGTCATGGCAGGAACATCTGCTGCCGCCATTCTGGGACCAGTTGCAGGGTCCGCTGATATTGCCTCAGATCCAGCCAGTGTTTCTTTAGTCCGGGTGGGTGACGTCCAAGGTGATGCTTACTTGCAAAAGCTCTTAGACGCGACGCTGGCACTACAAGGCTTCAACTTGTCAGACGTAAGAAGTGTTAACTTCTTGCGACCTTACCTCAGCAACGCGAGAACTGCGTGGATACTCTTTGAGGAGTTGAGGCGATTCACAGAAGTGCCAAAAGAAGTAGACAGCGACAAGGTGTTGCAGATTTGGAAACGCTTCCCATGGGATGCAGGTTGTTACGTACCACCGGGCTGCAGCGATTAACAGGCGCTACAGCCCGATGCACCCAGAGATCGTCTCGAAAGACGACATGCCCCATCTTTAGAGGACGCTCTAGTGTCCAGCTGGGATTGTGCAGCGTCTCGAACTACAGCACGGCGCTCGAGCTGCTGCGTGAAAAACCACCTGCTGACAGAGACTACCGCAGTACAGTGCACTTCAGCTCCTCGCCCGCCTTGGCGCACATGCTTCTGGCAGCGTTCGACGTGCCCACCATCATACCAGAGGATGGAGACTGCCTGGAGTTATTGGTGGCGGAGTCTGAGAGGCGCTTCTCAGAAGTGTTAACTGGCAAGAAGGCCACCACCATGCATCTCCCATACCCGTTTCCTCCAAGTGATGAAAGGAAGACATCTGGCGTTCCACAGAACTTGTTCAGAGAGATTCTCAAAGCCCTTACCAGCGGGGAAACAGTTGTGCTGCTGAATGGTCCGAGAGCACAAGGAGCTGACGTCATAGTTCTGCGTCGGGCTTGCAATGGTAAGAAACCTCTTGTACGCCTGCTACAGATCAAGAACAGAGGAAAGCCTGTAGGTTCGCTTGATGTTCTGAGAACACTTGGCGTGGGCGCAGGACAAAACAGGAATGTCGTGCAGCCCGTCCGCTGGTCTGAACGAGTCCTGGCGTGGCTATGTCGATTGGTGAGCGAGCAACCTGCACAAGGGTCTGCCTTGCAAGACCAATTTCAGAATGTGTCAGAGGTAGCGCAGATTCCTTCGATGGATGTCGATGTCGAGCTCATCCTTTTGGAACGGAAAAACAAGCTGTCAAGGCCGCTTCCTTTAGTCAAGAAGCCGAATTTTCTGGATTGTTGCCCAATATTCAAGCTGCTGAACCTGACTCATCTGGTTCCCTTTCCGACAGACATGCCACTGACGCACTACGTCGCCCAAGGCTGCGGCTGTGTGTTGTAAAGTCACACTGATGATTGTCCTCGATTAGGTGTTTTTCTGGAACACTCGGCCTTCAATCCGACAGTGCCAGAGGCCGAGTGCACCGTGCAGTAGGGCCTATGGGGCTTGTGTCTACCTCTCTTAGGATTTACGAAAGGGTCTGTGTGTGCATTGTTGCACTCCTCCCTTCACCCGCTGTCGTGGCCCAGGCTTGAAGGGCGGAACTTCCAAGACCGAAACCACGGAGTTACCCAAGCCGTCGCGACGACGATGCGGCGCGGGAGCGAGGCGAGGATTCAGGTCAGGAGGGTGATGCCGCGGATGTCGGGGATACTGCGGGGCGATACCGGCGACGACGAGGCGACGACGACGACGAGGCGACGACGCGGCGACGCAGCGACGA